AATGCCATTTGACTCTCACTCTCCAATTGCCTAGCCAATTAAAAACCTTTTATGTCAACAGTTAACTTGATCAAAATCATTATCCTGCATTAAAACATACCATAATGACTTTTTGGCATGTAGAAGCCTTCAAAATAAGCATCTTGCCTAAGAATTTTTACCCTGAACACAGTGTGTCACAAAGCTTAATAGAAGTCCATGCATTACCAGCCCACCCTTCCGGTATGTGTACATACCTTTCCGTACATAGCTAATTAATTTTTTTTGCCATGTGTTTCTATGCCATTCCAATGCTGTTAATATTTGTAAATGTTTAATATTTCTGGGAAATATTAACTCAGGTAACAGTAATATTGTATCTACTTTGTAATCCCAGCATATAAACCTATTCTCTCCCGCCCATGCTTGTTTATTACTGTAAACAGAATAATTCAAGATTGGAGTATTTAATGCTTACCAACAGGCAATATTTATTATTATGACTGAGAACTCTATATACAGTGTTGCACAAAATAGTAACAGACCTATCAACAAAACCATGTACCTATGCAACTGTAAATAGCACTTTAACAGAAGTTTAACACGTTGTGCGTTAAGTGTCTTACTGAAGTGACAATTTAGAAGATTATTTCATGGGAGTATGGAAATGCAAACTTTCATTCAAGGCATATACACAAAACACATGAAAAGGATAGCTACATGTGCCACAGGTCTGAAAAAAAAACCCAAACCAATCCCCTCCGCCCCAAAACAAGTTAAATCAACAAGTACTAGCACTCTGAGCAACCACCAGAGCTACCACATTCAAAGTTTTATCCTCTAGCAAGAAGCAGAGAAACAATCTGAAAAAACACCCTCAGCTTGCAGTTTTAGACATAGTAATGCAGCTGTATCACATTACCTGCATTTTTTTGTTTGGCAAGACTGAAATATTTATGACACTATAAACACTACACAGCCAGTGTATTACCAGTAATTCATGAATAACTATGCAAAGTAAAGTAACTGTGTACACAGTTGATTGTTGAAGGAATTAGTGATTTTACATCAAAAGGTAGTATAGCATACAACCACAATTCAAGTAACTACTATTAAAATTACAGGTGTGAAAATGCTGACCACCTACACCTGTGCATTATGTAAGACAGAACAAGAATTATTTTTTCATTTTCATTCTTCCCTCTACACTTTGGAAAAGTGTAGCTGCAAACCTCTCTTCAGCACATTACTATTCCAAAGTTGTTGACAAGCATGTGGGTACAACTGTCTGGATCAACGTGACCGCTGGATTTTCAACATGCAGCCCTAATGCTCTCTGTCCACTCCCATCTAAACACCTTCTGTCCTTGACTGTAAGATCCCACACCCTGTTGTACCCTATTTTTCATTTGCACTTTTTTTTTTTTTCTTTTTTTTTTTAAATTTAGTTGCCCAGGTAGCAAGTGATCAGCTTAGCTGCACAATGTTATCTTTGGACAATCAGGGCAACATGGACATAAAAAATATTTCTCTCATACCAGCTTTTGGGAAGGCCTGGAGAGAAATTAACACTTCTGCCCGAGCACCAGTGAACAAGTGCTGAAGACTTCACAAGCTTGAAAAGCAATGGCTTATGAAAACAAAATACTGATTAGGAGATAGCAAGCTTAAATTCCAAAGAAAAAAACGGTCTCTCCTACATAGTATTTTCATTACTGTCTAGACTAATTTAAAACAGTTATGAAACAGTAGGGGATTTTAAATTATAAATGATTTTTCTCCTTTTATCAAGTCAACTTCAAGACAGGAGTTAAACAGAAGTTACCGTAAGCTTTGATGAAAAACCCTAGCACCTACAGAGTTCAAGCTGTAATAAAATTAGTAGCAAACATGACTAAAAATAAAATAATTGTAAGATTTCTCTCTCAAAAGTGTTCACAGCTTTTGGTACACAGACAGCACATTCTGTGAACATGGGGAATCAGAAGGCAGAGGACGTTTTACCAACTTTGCAATCCAAGCCGAGAAAGATAAAGTAACAGAAATGTGAGAAAGAAGGCCTGTGTGTAACCTGCTTTAGTATTCCAGTGCCTGAATATATTTCATGGTCTTGAAACTGACCTCTTAAGTCCAACAGAGACTATGCCTTCAATAAGGAAAGGAACGTAATTAAAATTGGGTAAGCCCATTCTGAAGTATTTCTACAAGCAGTGCTATGGTAGCCTACCACTATATTAATACATGAACTTCTTTCTTTTTGGTCTTCCCCAAATTTATGGGAACATAAACCACCAGAAAACCCACACAGAAGATGAAAGCATCAGAAAGCTACAAAAAAAAAGTGAGCATCTACATAATCATAGTGAACTCTGAAGCTGAGGACTGTGTGCCTGTGTATATAAATCTTCATAAACAAACACATACAAATGGTTGCCCTGTTTTTTTTTTTTTTTGGTTTGTTGGGGTTTTGTTTTGGTTTTCCCCTCAATCAAGGCAGAACACATAGGCAATATATGCTTTCAAAGGGGTTTTGGATGGGGAAGCGTGAGTAGAGTGGACAAAGAAAATGACAAAGGAAAATAACAGTGACATTTTATTTCCTTGGCACGTGAAAGTACAGAGAAGTTAGTACAATGCTTAACTGTTCTTACCTTCCGGATCCAAACTCATCACAAATTACTGCATAACTACATCAGTGGTGAAATTTAACACACAATTTACATTTTCAAAATTATTTATTTTTCTTAATGACAGACACACTTTATGCAGCCTACGAACCTGAAGAAAATGCATTTGCTTCCGAAAGCCGTACTAGTAAATGTTTTGGGGTGTTCAAAGTCAAAGAAGTAGTCCTGAGATTTCAGATGTTAAAGCTTTCTCCACAGCCACATGTTCCTTTGATGTTTGGATTATTGAAGACAAATTCACTGGACAGTTTGTCTTCTACATAGTCCATTTCAGTTCCCAGAAGTGTCAGCTGTGCCTTCTTCT